TCACCTGTAAACTAACCACTTCAGAATGTCATTTTCAATGCACTGGTGGCATTAGTTAGTAAGCTGACAACCAGCAAGAACTTGACTCTTACTGGCACCGACTAGATCTATATAAGCTCTCTCATGTGTACTCAATGGCCACATTGTGTGATGGAATATGCAGGTCATGTATGGTTATCAACAACCGCTGTCTGCACCAGCAGTGCAGGCAGCAATTGCACTGCTCTCACAGGCAGCTGTTTTCGAGTGTACTCAGCAGGTGCTGTGAAAGAGCTGAATTCATCATCTGGAAGTTATGTTCATGTTAAGTGAAAATGTATATACTTATATTTAAAAAAATAGACTCTACTTGCTTAGATTCTTTATGTTGCCTTTGTTAGTTGAATTATTTTGAGCCTGCAGCATTTGCATTATTCTACTTACCCTATTGACAAGGAAGGTGCAAACATAATTTCTTTATTCCAATGTCTTGCATTCAAGCATTTTCAAGTAGGTTGTATAAATGCACTATTTGAAACTAACAATCTGACATGCACTGACTAAAATACAGTTCTGTAAATCATAATAAATGAATTTCATATCATAATTTAAGTGATCCTTGTGCTTGAATGTCTTACTGTTTTTTCAGAACTGGTGATGTTTTGAAGGATGCTGAGAGTTTCTCTGCGAAGGATAGGGAAAGGTTCAAGTCACTTCATAAGAAGGCGCAGGAGACTATGAGGAATGATCTGGAGGAAAGCATAAAGGTTCTCAATGACACGTTGGGGTTGGATCAATTCATCGAGGATATGGAGACTCTCACTGCTCAGTCATCATGCCAGGAGCCTGCATGGCTAGTGTCTCCTTGTCTATTGTTGCTTTTCTAATGCATGCTCAAAATTCAAGGGATAAAAATATTTCAAACAAATTTAATGAGTACTATGTGCAACTGGCTTATTTTTTCTTTCAGGCGACCAAATGGGAATGTTCATTACCACATGCGAAGCTTCGCCTTTCCATTGCTGGAGAAGGAAGCCGAGAAGCTTGAGAACCAGCACCGTCAACAAAAGAAGAGCCTTGAGGCAGCACAAGATCGACTGCAGCGAAAAGTAAACATCCTTCGCACTTATGAAGGGGAGAGACAGCATCGAGTGAAGACCCTCATGGTTACCGAGGGAAAAGAAGTGGAGCGCTTGAAAGACGATATCCTTGAATACATACCGAAACTTCCTTCATGATTTGCCTTGACAAAGAAAGAGTTGACTGCAAAATAACTTGTTATTTTTTGACATCAAGGTGTGCTTAGAACTGTTTTCAATTTTCAGTCCTCATAGGCCATTTCAGGTGAATGGTGAAAGGAAACCTTGTCTGTCAAGATCTCAGATATTAATGACACTGAAGGTCTTTTGTTGTTTAATAAATTTCATTGATTTCTTCCTTCCTTCTGTCCATAAATATTATTTCCTACTTGAAGAAATCAAGTTTTTTCTGGGTCTTTGAGTGCATACACATGGGAATCCATCCAGGAATCACTCCTGAACCTTCAGACAGAAATATATGAATGGAATGAATGAATGCTTTGCTTCCATTTTCTGAAAGTGATTGCACTGGTATATGCTGAGCAGATGTTGAATTGTGCAGTGCGACCTTTCACAGCACCTTCTACAGGTCATTAAAGAAGTAACTCCATTATTTTGTTCAAGATTAATGGAATCTATGCCACAGCTAATTCAAGAGGTTTTGAAACTCAAACCATTCACATTGAGGTGTGTTTGCCATTATTGACATTTGCTTTACTTTGTTTATGTTCTTACTGAACTGTAAACAAGTACATAATATAATACTTTGTTGGAAATAATGGTATTCTTGATTAAATTGGAGAAAGCTAACATTTTCCATTCAAACAAGTGGTAAGATTGTTTTTGTTGAAGGTATTTGAAGGCATTCAGCAGCAGAGTAGGTAATTAAAAAAAAATAGACTCCCATGGCAGGTGACTGGGATGTAAATATGAACAAGTTCTGCTGAACGGCAGCTCCAAGCATATCTTATGGCAAATCCCTGAACCAGAGCACTCCTAACTCTCAATGACATTGTTATGAAGAAAAAAATGGTTGAAGGTTGGGTCCCAGGTCAATAATAGATATTAATAGTACAGGGTGTCCATAAAAAATGTTTGTGTGGCTTATGCATCCATGCTTGGCCATTGTCTTGCAGAAGGCCTCCTTATTGGCAGCTCACATGTACCCTAAAATCACCTCTATCTTATGATTCTGTGATACTTGGTAGTCATGTCCTATAAAGCATGTAGTTATTGGAAAAAGAGTCTGAACTTCATTCACCTCCCATCGAGGTGTAACTCAGTGATGCTCATTTACCCTTACTACAGATTTTGAATCATGCTCTAGAGCTGCAGATAATTTGGAAGGTCATATCAGCTGTGTCTGGATATTGGTAAAACTTTGGCTCTGCTCATTGGAGAGCATCTCTACATTGTATGACAAAAAAAAAAGACCAGAGACTTAGGAAAAGTTTCTGGAAGGGCCTTTTCCTTGGTTAAATCTGAACCAATCTTGAGCATTCTCTTCGTAATGGTATTTGTCATAATTTTAAAGAGCTTTATTACAATCAATTGGCAAGAAAAGTTCAACCTAAAATATGAATTTCAGTGGAAAAGACATTTTGTGTGGCCTGGACGTTATGCAAGCAGAGCACTCAGGCATCCTCCACTTGACAAACAGCATGAGCACTTGTCCATTTTCATTATCCAACTTCCTCATAGTCATTGATCATAACTTTGCTTATTAGCATGAGTTTAGGATAATTTTTAAAGATACATTGGAAACATATCCATCTATGCACTGTGGAAGTACATAAGGTGGGAGTAAAGGCATATTGATATATTGATTAAAGGATGATCTTTTTTTCATACCCCTTATATGAAAAAATTGGTAGGAGGTTGCAGATTGCTTATCACTGCCTAACCACTTGCTTCTCAGACATGATCAGTTTTTTTGTAATGAGATTCAGTTGGAATAGAGATGGATGTTTTCAGTCAGGTCCTTCTTTTGCTATTCTCAATTAATCATTTCAGTAATCATACTACCCCAAATGCAGTCCTGCTATGGGTATGAGATTATTTGGAAAGTCAAAAGCTTGGGCTACATTTTGCTACAAGGGGAATAATTTCAGGGCCATCATCAACATCACTTGTAGGTATCCCAATGGTTCCAATTGTAGAATATATAAAAGCAATCCCCAGGAATTCTGTTTTTATTTTTTTATTTTTTATTAGCATGGAACAGTCACAATGTGGCTCTCTTGTCCATTTCACCCACTCAATTGGGAAAGCAAGAGTATCTTGACTGTATGGGTCTGTGTCACCCTCCAATTTCTACCTTGTTCATATGAGATACTAGTAATCACCTCTAAATCATATCAAGTACAGGGTGATCCACAATTGTCTCCCCAAATGTAAAAGGTTATTACTCTGGAAGTATACATCTGATTTCAATTATGTGACTCAAATGATAGCCAATGCAATATATTTGTACTGTGGAAATGTTTAGCATTCCATAAGAAACTAGAACAAAGTTAGATCATAATAAGTGAAAGTACCCATATCGTGCAATTAAAGTCTGTAAATATCACAATCCCTTCAGGATTTAGCATTTCCATCTTGAGTTTCGCAATCCATTTATGGGTTTTTCATGCATTGCGAGGGATTGTCTGTGTCATGGGTGACCTCGGTGTCTTACAGAAGACGAATACTCCATTTGGTTTGATAATTTGAAGAGTGAAAATTGGTGAGGGGAAAATTTGGAAATTTCCCTTTTGGTCCAAATACCTCAGTTCCAAATGGGAAGATCATGAAGGCAATTCATAAGAGGTTTCTGAATCTGAAGAGATTTATTGGTGGACCTATGACAACCTGGTGGACCTAGATATTCTGAAACATGCCATTAGAGATGCCTTCACCAAAGTAGGACCAGAGGTTATTGAAAGAATTCTGCTTGCATTCAAAGAGAGACTGCACTAAGTTATTGATAATTGTGAAAGTCATATTGAACACTGGTGATTTGGTGGCTTTCATTTGTAAGGATGTGACTTTGTTCTAGTTTCTTATGGAATGCTGAAAATTTTCACAATAAAAATATATTGAATTGGTTATCATTTGAGTCTGACATAATTGAAATCAGATGTATACTTTCTGAGTAATAAGCTTTTACTTTTGGGGAGACAATTGTGGACTACCCTGTATTTGATTCATCATGAGGGGTCACTTTCTCTTCCAAGCTACCAAATAGACATAGAGACCATGAAAAATTCAGCATAAATAGCCTTAGTTGAATAACTTGAGTTTGGCCAAGAAGTGTCAAAATGGCTCTCTCAGTATCCATGCATGAGTTCAATTACTCATTGGTGGGCTTTGAACATCTGGGACCAGGTAATTTATCATTTGGAATGAAGTTCACTTTTCTAATAATTTTGTCTAGTATTGACTTTAGCTTCACTCAATTCATTTCCTCATTATGGAAATCTTTAGCTGTGTTTCTTGTTAAACTAGTTGGCATAAAGATATCATTACCATTGCTGGCTGGGCTGAAGTTGCTGTCTTACCTCACTTCACCAAAAAGAAACAAGTTCCAGTGCTTATAAATTATGGAAATATTAGGGTAAACTCCTCAGAAGATAGAGGGGCTAGCAGAAATGTGATATCCAAATAACTGAATGTAGAAAAAATTGACTTCTGGCTCACTGAAATTAACATAAAAAATGAAAGTTCTATTTTTCATCGTGTATATTTATTAAATTACCTATTGCCATTCAAAGTATTCCCAGGCTAGATTTTGCCTTTCACTGTGGTGTTTGCCCAACTTTCCAGTTATTTCTTCAGCCCCATTCTTCCAGGCATATTTTTCTTCCTTATAAGCTCATCTTCTCCTTCTAGGACCACTAATAACTGTCAACTGAGTGATTGAAATTTCAAGCTGAATTTGCAAAATAGCCAGAAAGGGGAAGCAGTTGTATCAAGACACATCCTAGGAATGAAGAAATGACTCTTCTATTCAAATAGAAGTAACTCATATCAACATAAAATAGTCCTTCCTTTTATACTGCAAGACACACTTTCAATTTCAGATGAAATGCTGACATAGGGATGAAGATACATCAGGTTCCCAAGCACTTTCTCCTAAGAAAATCCAGATGGTCGAAAGTGGTTCAGCTTGTTGATCGTCCAGTCATCATTCACCCCTTTCGTGTAGTTTCGTATGAAGCGGTAATTGCAGATGATGAGTTTCTCACGGTTTCGCTGCAGGTCTCCTGGCGTAGGTGGTGGTTCCCCCCTACGTATGGTTTCTCCCATGCCAAGGAAGACATGGTAACACATAGTCACCTCTACCCATCTCCTCTGCAATTCTATTGATGAAATAATGAAATGCATTTTTAATATTTCAGCAGAAAAGTCTTTTAAACTATGAATGAATTATAGAATTGCTTGGAATAAATCACACAACACAAGGAAAGTATGCAGCATTGCATAACATCAAGAAGTAAGCATGTCTCTTACAAGGCTCCATTTTCCTTAGCTCTTCCTCCACTCCTTAGCCACCTTTCATGTCTGCCTACCCAAAAATCTATAAGCTCAGAAATGTTGACTTACTGGGAGGTGGGTCATCTTCTATTATCATTCCAATCTGGTATGGGAATGCAAAATATATATCATCCTCTGCCACAGCCAACATATGGCGATCTTGAAGACTGTAATTACTCAAATTTTTCGACACTTCAGAGATGCACTCGGGAGAGAGAAGATCCTTCAATCCTTCAAATTCTCCTCTAGATATCAACTGGGAAACACACACCAATGCCTGTAGAGAGACAAAATTTAAGAAGGATGTAAAAGGAAAGAATCGCCTGAGTTCCATTCATGTAGCATTTGATTGTTTTGAACCTGCTTTGCTCCAATGGTCAGATTTCTCAGGGAAAAGTCTCTGTCCATATACGGACGGATCACAAATGTCGCCAGTATCCAGTTCCGAATGCTATGCAAAAGGCGAGGCCACAGAATTTCTGGCAAGTCAGTGAGAGGCAGTAGAGGTTTAGTTGGGCCATCACTCATAAACTTCACTGCTGCTTGTGTCTTTGGATTCCAACCCGTCAACTGGGGAGGTCGGAGGAGTTCTTCGCGAAGCGTAGCTGCCCAGAAATGTCGCTTGAATGGAGAATACCTTGTCTCGGAGAAATTCAGCACCGTGCACCTATTGGTGTGCCTACATGGTCTAATAACACGGCCGAGGAAAGACATGCCAAACTATTCCGGGCCAAGAAAAAGCGTCTTGTTTATGTCAACTGGCACCACGTCTATTTCGTGTCACGATCGATGTAGGACATCGGGAAACGATAATACCAATATCACAGGGAAGAACCCAAACACGGAAGCACGTGCTGTCTGATGAGCGCCATGTTGGATGATGCAGTTTTCTACCTCGTCAGTAGATGTCAGGAATGGAGCTTGGAACCGCGGATTGACCCCTCTGAGCTCTGCTTCTCCGTGGTACATATATAGCCACTAGTCCCGCGGTTCTTCTAATTCCCGACTCGAATGCGCCATCGCTTGTCAGATGAGCCCAACATGGCCGCTGGTGCTTCGCTTTCCTTTTTTTCTCCCTCCTTTTGTCCCATGGACAGGATCCTAGAGCCAAAGGGGTAAGGGGAGAGGATCGGTATGTCGAATCCAAGGAAATTCAGTGAAAAGATTGCAGTGCAACTCCAAAGACAAGCTGAAGCAACGGCTGTCATCGATGAAGTCCTGCGGGATATCAGGGAGGTTACTCAAACAAGGGGGACAAATGCTTTCAGACAGGTGAGTTTTTTGGCCGAACTTCGAGGCTGGAAAATTAGGTCCTAGACTGATGAAATATGTACCAGATAGGCCTAGGCTCAGAGAGCTTTCTCGACACGTAGGCCTATGAAGAGACTTCTATTGATTCCTATTTTGTAATTTGCAGCCTATCCCACAAGATAGACCCAGCAATCATCTACAACCCCAGTTCCCGTACCCAAGAGGCAGTTCACTCCCAAACATCAGCCAGATGTCTGCCAACCCAGTGTCAACAGAATATTCAGTAAAATGCCACTTCCATGGTCTTAATGGTGGCATACTTCACATTCCTGATCATTGTTTTTGGTATCTTTCAGAATGTACATGGGTTCACCCTTTCCCACGTGCCAGAAGGAGCCCAAGCTATCCTGCAAGTGGACTGCCAGCACATCCCCAATCACAGACGTGGTGGAGGGGGGCCGCTCAGACACAGTCCCACTGACAAGCGTATTGTGTCCTCTCCATACGGAAGTCTCATCAATCATGGGACATATCTGTCCCCGCCGTTGGAAAGCACCTGGGCAAGAAGGGCCAGTTCAGACTCAGCCCTCCATCAGACATCAATGGGTCCCGATCAGTCTTTACCTGGCATCCTTTGTACTTCCAGCTCATCGCGGACATGCCCAAAGAGAGGTCAGTTAGATGAGATACAGTCGTTAGTATTGAAGCAGAATGTCAGCTTCGTGAAAGTGTAGGGTATTCCAATTGAAGCTGTCTTTTTGCTTATATTCTGTTTGAACTTGGTAATGTTAATATCTTTAAATATCTCATAAGTAAGCTCATGGAGGAGAGCAGGAAAGAAATAATGTGGTGTCAGAATTTGATATTGGATGCATCTATGCCAATATGGATGCTATTGGAATCTTTTTAAATGTATAATAAGTGATGACAAGAAATTAATAAAATTTTATTGTTCATTTTTTCTGGTTTTTATAGAAGTATTGGTAAGATTTGGTTGTTTTCTAAATGGCTTTGTGATGTTTAGCATATCAATTCATACAAATTAACACTTTTTAAACTAGACAGGTGTAATTGCCCATTTCATTGCTTGTGAAGTGTAAATGGTAAATAAATTGATGCTGCTCTGTTTGCGGTTGGTGGAAGGCCTTTGCTTTTCTCATTAAAGTTGATGCAATTCACCCCTTTGTTTACATTACAAATTTCATGGAGGTCAGTGTAACCTTGTTGATGCCAGGCATTTTTTAAAAAGAGTGATCCTTTAATTCTGCCACAGGGCAGGATCCTCACAATCCAGAATGACCAATTCAGAAGACTTGGTAAAGTAGATAATACTGCCATGCCAGTGGCACAAGGGACTGGAAATAGCTCCATTTAAAAGTGGATACCAATTGGTCATCCTCCATTAGCTGGAACAGCTGATTTTTCATACTGATAGGATGTTTATTACCACTACCATGTGGAGCTAACACCCCTATATGGTGGTTTACTTACAATAATGAAAAATTGAACAATCTTCTGTATAGGGTCAAATGGTGACTGCAGTAGGGGTCTTTACTTCTGAAAGCTTTTGCTGAATGATAGATTTAAAAAATTAATTTCATGTTCTCCATGGCCCATTTCAAACGTTTTTTTTTATAGCTTAGGAGGTATATACAAATAAATGTCTATGTGAGCTCTCTTTTATGATCATGGTCTCGTTTTATAAAAAGGACCAGACAAAGAACCTGTTTATCTTTCTGTTGTTTGTCTGTTAATCGCCTAGTTGAGATTGCAATAAGTTCCTAGCAAAATGACCTTGTTCTTTGCTGTCATATCTTCAATACCAGGGCATCCACAACCCATGGAGATTGTTGGCAAGTCTCCTGTCCACTCCTTCCCCAGAACTTCTAGTCAACAATCCAACACCAGGTGATTTGATTAAGGGCAGATAGCTCAAGATAGAGGCCTGAGGCCAGTTGAAGTGGGAAAACTCTTGAGATAGAGGCACAAGAGCATCTGTTCAAGTGGAATATCCAATATTTGATAGTGGTCTCCACCTGGGGCGAGTGGAGATAATGGAGGGAGAGGCTGGAAAGAACTCCACCATGGGAATGGGGATGGGGGAACCCGGCGGGTCTCTTCCCGATCTCACTTCGATACACATGCCGTCCCCGCTCACGACGCCCATAGATGTTGACTTGGACTGCCAGAATCCCCGTGGCTCTCAGAGCTACAACCCTGTATGTGTGCCCATAATCAGTTGCTGTATGGTTGATCTAGGTGTGGGATTTCTAGACTTTTAATTTATCTCAGTGTCTGCTTGTCAAATACAGTTACGAGATGGGGGTCCTAACTGTTATATGGCAACTGACCTGTCTTTCCTAACTGATTCTTAGATGCTGATATTGGTTAAGCAACGGAGACCATTATTGACTTGTTTACAAAATAAGAAAAAATTACTAATTTGCAATGGAAATTATCCAATGAATTGGTGTAGCTACTCAGAGACACCCCACAAAGATTAGTATGGGTGCCAAAAGTGGGTGCCCTCATTGAGGAAAGTGGTGGATTTTTAAAATATGTTTGAATTTAGGATTTCTACCTGTATGTCTCACATCCTTCTCCCCATGGTATTGTACTCTATTAAACTGTATTAAACTTCTCTACCAAAATCCAAGGTCATACAGCCCATGGATAGAGACATATCTCTAATTAGATATCTACTGCATGTGATCATGGTGCTCTATATGCATCTTCATGGATCTAATATGAGCCTCTGGCTGATCCAAGGGATTTTTTGTCTATTAGAACATGAGATGCTGAAGTCTCTTGCTGGTGCTCTGGTGAATGCAAAATAATATATTAGAATAATATGCTGACGAGCTCCATTCAAGAAAGCTTTGTTGCAGCTTTTAATTGTCAAATATGTTTAAAGTAAGCTGAGTCATTTTTGCAGTTAGCTGTTTCACATTTCCCAGCCTGTTAATGTCCATATTAAGGGGTGGAGCAGATGTTACTCCTGCTAACTCTACAAACTCCATGGGATGTACTGATATACAAGTTTCCCTTAAGAACCATGAACTGGTGTGATGTCACTGTTGTATTTTGATAAGGAATGGGATTTGTTGTCTCTAGATAGGACTGGAACTTTGCTCCTAAAAGATAAGGTGTGTGAATGTATATTATTATGACTTATCCTTCCTCCTTACCCTAACTTGTCCCTTACGTGCATCTATGTACAAGTTTTGTGTAAATTCTTTCCACATATTCCTTGCTTTTTTCTGATATGTCCATTATCTTCATCCAAGTTTGTTGCAAGTAATGTTGACATAATGATAATACTTCACTCTGGTAAATTGATGAAGCACAGACCAAGATATGGAAGTGTTACTTTCTTAGCAGGTCAAGAAAGCCATCCAGAATGAAATTTTCTGATCCCTATGATGTAATACTTTATTATGCAGAGTCCAGTAGGACCTTCAAGCCCACTAACATTTGGATCCCAGAATAATTACGGAGGAAATGGGAGATTCATGGTGGGACAGGTGAGCCCATCATCCAACCAATCTGATGACATTGTCGTCCGCCGTAATGCCAATCTTCCTCCCCTTAGAACTCCACAGGTGAGCAATCCATGTTTTGTGAGCCTTGTACTGTGGTTTGCTTTCATTTTGTACACTTGCTGTAGTGGTGTAATGGGAGGCCTGTTGTCTCTGAATGTAGTTTTGAGTTGATTCTTCTTTTGTAGCATGAGCTAGATGTAAAGAAGAATGCCCAAAAATTTATGGCATGGTGTCCCCATATGCCATCAAAAGTCACTGGATCTAGAGGAGAGTAAAAATGTCAGTATCATCTACGCAAGTGATACATGAGGTCAAAAGCTACCAGTCAAAAGTTTATCAGCTTCATGGGACTAGGAAGAGGTGGAAAATGTTATATCATGAAGTAGCAGTATACTAAATTCATACAAAAATGCAATTTAATCCCCTAGTACAAAATTTAAAATGGAACTCTTCTTTATATTGCATATTGACCGCAAATAAGGTTGCACAAGACTGTATTTGTATTGGCAGTTTATTTTATTGTTATTATAGCTACCACCAGTTAAAATATCAGTCCAATAAACCCAAGTGTTACATCATTTTTTAAGCATATTTTTTATGGTTTGGGTAATAGGGCTTCAAGGAGCCTGGTGAAACCTGAACTGATCAGTGGGGTTGTTGTCTCCTGACAACTCCTGACATGTTGATGCTATCTTTTATGTATAGCTCTTTACTTCATGCATTAAATGGGTTGAGGCCATGAACGCTTTTATTCTCCTATGAGGTATCAACTGATGATGAATGGAGGCACATTTGATGGTGGTAGTCAGTTGATGAATGGAGGCACTTTTGGACATTCTTCTTTTTTATGCACACCAGCTTCTGTTTTGTTTGCTTTTTATGCAATATTAGAGATTGCTCTTTCTCTTGGTTTCAAAGTTTCCAGAGCTAATGTTTTGGCTGATACCTCCATTTTGAAGAAATTGCCTTTTGCTCTAAGTTCTTCTAGCCTGCAAAATATTTAAACTGTTATGATTGTTGGTTTTTCTTCTTCAGCTTGTCTGAACTATGATAGAAATGACTTAGAGTGCATATTTAATATCTACATATAAGTATGATAAGGGTTGTACCGTATCAGCCAACATCTGCCATGGGAAATGATATTGTTGCACCTTCAGTTGAATGTCCTTGATTTAGTTGATGCAGCAGCTTTGTCTCTTCTGTTATCTGTCGTGTGGAGCAGTCTTACAGTTTGACGCACCTGCACGTTCCTAGGCTAACTCCACCCCCTTGTTGGTATCAGGTCAGTGTACAGATGAGGTCGCTGATGAGAACTGCACTTGTTTATGTCTGTTTGTGATGCCTTCATTTTGTGATCATAACATTTTGTCTTTGAAGGGCACCGGAATGTGTGGGAATGGTACAAAGCCTGAGGCATTCCATGGGGCATCGCCATCGGGTACACCCACATACACTCAGTCTCAGTTGCCTCTGACCATGATCTCATCTTCTCCCCCCGCTTCCACCGTATGTTGCCTCATTCTGTTACTATGTTACAAGTGCCCATGTTAGTAATGATAGGATGTCAGTCAATTATGCCGAAGTCTGATGTGCCGACACAGGTTGGAATTTCTTTTGATTCCATTTGGAACTACAAACTGTCAGTGCAGATATGAAAATTCTCTGAGAAGATGATCCTCTCCAGTAGGTGATGATAAAGAAGACCTTTTTCTTTTTATCCATCAACCCCTGCCCCACTGTCTCACTCCAATGCTAGGACATCATTGGATTCTTTCTCAGTGGGATTTGTATGCCTGGTGGAATTTTAAGTACTCACAGAAAAATTACAGTGAAAACTCGTTAACTTGAACTTTTAGGGACCGGGCAAATCGTTTAGAGTTATCTGAAGTTTGAGTTATCAGGAATCGCGCCCCCCCCCCCCCCCAAAAAAAAAAATCACACATTTAGGGACATAACCAAACCATTTCTGCCCTCAAAAGTCTGATTTCATGGAGTGACGACCTTCCCATTATAATAGGTTTTTATTCATCGCAAATTAAACTTTAATACTCCACATGCAAAATTCATTTATTGCAATGCCTTTCACCTGGGGCTCTCTTGGTTTTATCCTTTTCTGACATGTAATCAGTGATCTTCATTTGCTTTGTAAAAGAACTTGTAATAGAGAAGTGGAAGTCCTCCAATTTCCCTACTGCCTTGAACAAGTCGACTGGCACCTCCCCTCGCGAGAGGAGGAATTTTCTCACAATTGCCAGTGCATCATTGCATCGCTCAAAGACGGCGGTAGAGCATTGTACGTTGCCTCCTGCTCTCCATCACTCTCATCCCCTGGCTTGCTCTCTTGTGAGCGATCTTTGATGTCGGCAATGATGGATGCCTCAGTGACTGGCTCAGTAACAATGAGGTCATCATCGCAATGAACAAAGTCGTTGAATGACACATCACAGTTCATGATATGAGCCACAGCACTCCAAGAATGCTGATCACATGAGATTTCCATCTCCTCGACTTCCTCATGAACATCACTTCTGTGCACAAATCCTGCTTTTCTGAAGCAGTTTGCAACTGTGGACAACCGTACGTCTTCCCATGCCAAAAACAACATGTGAATTGCATTGAGTAGAGTCGCACACACTTCTTTCTTTTCATCAATGGCGGAAATGATGCCTTGGATGAGTCGCTTCCTGTAGTGCACCTTGAGATTGCGAATCACTCCCATGTCCATAGGTTGAAGTTTGGAGGGAGAAACATCAAATTCACCACTGTCAGACCTTGAACGTGTGGATGAGCAGGGCAGTTGTCAGCAATCACCAGAATTTTCCTTTTCTGTTTCAGCATCTTATCATCCAATTGCATCAGCCACTCCGTGAATATTGTTGACATCATCCAAGCCTTCTTTGACAGTCCGAATCAAGTGCACCTTCTCTTCGAGTGTCAGTCTTCAATTTCCTCTTGAGTGAACTCATTCCACACAAATGGCATAAAGGAAGTAGAATATGACTAGAATGGCTCGGAGTGAGAGCGATAAATAGACAGAGCGAATGTTGGAGGTTGGTTTTTTGTAGCTGAAGCTTTTCGGTTTTAATCCTCAGGTTTAATCCTCTCCACAGGCGTCTGCGTGGGAGGAGGGGGAGCAGAAAAAAAAACAAAAGAAACAAAAGAACATCCTCCTGAATGGGTTTTTTGTCATTCATCCTATTCAAAAATTGAAAAGTCCCACGAGAAGAATTTTCCCCCCTTCACACCCTGAATTCGAGTTAACCGTGAGAAAATTGTTATCAGGAGTGAAAATGTCATTCAAGGTATCCGGAAATTCAAGATAAGCGAATTCGAGTTAAACAGAGCATTTAACATGGTGTCCTATGGGGTTCCGCTGGGACCAAGCATTCAAGTTCGAGATAAGCGGAATTTAGACTTATCAGGATTCGTGTTAACGAGTTTTCACTGTATTTGCACCTCTCTCAAAATAATCAGTATTGGTTGCCTAATCTATGGCACCCTTCCTGCAATGAAATGGCAGGAGGGAGTATGAAACTCTATGCAATTTATACCGATTATATTGAAAGACCTACAAAGTATTTCACCCCTGATGCACGACAACTTGCAGCTGGTACAAAAGTCAGCAGGAAACACTCTAAGTTGGATGCTGGCTTTTCAATTATAAAAACAATGAAATTGCTATCTTCTAATGGAGGAACCATGTTTCATCAGTATTATGGATGTGGAAAGGAAATGTGAATGCCAGTAGGTAAGCCTCATTTTTCATTCCCAGTGTACAAGTATCAGCAACAGTGCAAGCACTCTAATCAGTTACTTTCCATGCTCCTTAACCCTTTGACAAGTATGCCCATATATATACGGGCTGACATCCTCCTGCCCCCATGTATTCACTACGGGTGATCTTCTAGATGTTAAAAAAACCCACTCCTGAAAGGGTTAAGGAGCAAAGAACTTGAGAGTGGAATATGTGATTCATTGATTACCATTTTCCTTGAGGCTCAATTTTCAAGGGTTTTTTTTTGTTCATAGTATCTTAGAATGTCAGAATTGGCTTCCAATAGTATTGTGATTAGTCAGCTTTCTTATTAATGAATTGATCATCCAGCTTATTCATATTTCTGCTGAAAAGATGCCCCTCTTATTAGAAGAAGTTTACCTAACATTTGGTGTTAGTAAGCCTGTTTTTAAGCCCAAAACAAAAAGCTCCTGGTCAAATCTATTGTCTGTGGCTGAATCTAGACAGTGACACGTGAGAAGCATTCTTTGCATTAATTCAGAATCAAATGATGAAGTATTGGTGTTTTATTTCATCAAGGGACTTATGGGCAATCTTGAATGGAAATTGGAAGTGATATGCCAGATGTGTTTATAGACATGATAAGCTTTTTTTTTTATACATGTAGGTATCTGGCTATCGAGTTAACACAAGTCCCAGTAGCCCTTCTGGACGGGGATCGACCCCACAGAGTCCACACAGCAGTGCAGGGAGTCCGTATTCTGCTGGAGCCCCCCCATCCCCTGTGACGACCTCGACTGCACCCCAGATGTTCTTCTCCCTGCCTCATTCAGTGTCTGTCTCCATTTCTTCCTCTGCATTGCCATCGTCTTCACACCAGCAGCAGACCATCTCCTTGCAGCAGCATCTTGAACAGTGCAAAATGAATGATGCAAACTCAACACCGAGTTCATTACCTCTTCACTATCCTCGGGTTGGTACTCAATCTGTGTGGCTTCCTTAGCAAATTTGAATTCATTCCTTACCTTTACCAGTAGTAGTAGTATTTATATTTTGTCATATCTTATGGGTAGTAAAAATGGAGGACCAGTTGTCAGCCTTCTGGATGTACCTGCAAACCTATTGCTGAACTAAGTCATTCTTATCCTGCTTTCTTCAAGTAAACGTTTATTTGATACAGATGATGATGTCTTGGGAACATCATCATCTATTGCATTCAATTGGATCTTTCTGCCTTCATCTCTGTAGATTCTGAATGGTCATGCACTGGCCATTGGTAATATTTTGGTGCATATTTTGTTGATGCAGTAATATTTTGTTAGTGTATGTGTTATGCGTGATTCGTGCAAAAGCTCATTGTGCAATGTTTTTGCTAGAGATGCAACAATATTGAATTTTGGCCGATATCTGATATACCGATAATTCCGATATTGGAAAAGAACCGATACCGATATCTATATATACATTTATATTTCCACATTCAGGGTGGATTTTGAACAGTGAATCATCTGATAATGCTGCTAAACACATATTTCCAGGAAATATGTGTTTTCCCTAGAATAAAGCTGCATTATCAGATTGTTCTCTGTTCAAAAATCCACCCTCAGGCATTTAATCCCTCCACTTTCAAGTTTTATTTGGGACCAGGTCTAATGGCGAAAGCTTGAGGTGCACCAGTGGTGCACCTCATGCTTTTGCCATTTCTCCAATAGTGAAAAGAAATGTTTTCTTCATGCTGAAGCCAGGCTCCTCAATTTGGATTTTTTAAATATTAGGTTGAGGAAAAAGTTTGTGCGCCGTATTAAAATAATGATTTTTTATATTTTTTGTGTTTTTGATCTGGTTTCGTGGCTATTATGAAATTTTATTGATTTTTTAAGATGTCTGATTACGAAATTTTGAGCTTCGCGTATTGCTGCATCATTATTGGAGAAAGAATTTGGATGCAAGAGCAGCTGCCAAAGCAATTTGCGACGTTGAAGGTGAAGGTACAGTGGCACCGCGAACTGCACAGAAATGGTTCAAGCGTTTCAATGAAGGCGATTTGGATCTTGAAGACAGGCCACATTCCGGACGACCAACGGTTCTGGATGAAGGAGACTTGCAAGCCGCTTTGGATGTTGAGCTGTCATCAAGCACACGCGAATTGGCTGAAGAACTTGGTGTCAATCAGAAGACAGTTTGGAATCATCTCAAGCAACTTGACTTCGTCCACAAAAAGCCACAACAAGATCCACACGAGTTGACCGAAGCGCGAGCCGCCAAACGAGTCTAAATTTGCCGCCAATTGCTCAACAATCCGTTGGATGACCGTTTTTGGAAGCGAATTGTGACATCAGACAAGAAGTGGGTCTACCTGGTCAATCACGATCGAAGCAAGCGTTGGGTCCCAAAAGGTCAAACTCCTCCATCCGTTCCAAAGCAAAATCAATTTGGAAAGAAGATCGTGATTTGCGTTTGGTGGAACTTCGAAGGAATCTTGCATTTTGAACTTGTGCTGAATGGTCGCACCATCAACGCTGGACTTTACTGCGAGCAACTAGATCGAGTCTACGATGCGCTGGTTGAAAAGTACCCAAGTCTTGTTCGTCGAAAACGTGCTTTGTTTCAACAAGACAATGCAAAGCCGCATACCACCAGAAAGACCAGCAACAAGTTTGAAGAATTGGACGGTGTCAAAGTTCTGCTTCATCCAGCCTATAATCCAGACGTTGCTCCATCTGACTACGGTCTCTTCCGATCAATGCAGCACTTTATGAAAGGTCGCCAATTTGAGTCATTCGATGAAGTTGAAGAACCATGTCAAGAATTTTTCGATTCAAAGCCGAAGGAGTGGTACTTTGACCAAATCCGAAAGCTTGCAGATCGTTGGCAGAAGGTCGTGGACAATGATGGTCTTTATTTTGAAGAATAGTTGTTGTTCTTTTTGAATAAATTCTTGCATAAAAAATCATTATTTTAACACGGCGCACGAACTTTTTCCTCAACCTAATATTTACATGGTTTAGTTGCACGATATGGGTACTTTCATTTGTTATAGTGTAACTTTGTTCTAGTTTCTTATAGAATGCTGAAATTTGCCACAATAAAAATGTATTGAATTGGCTATCATTTAAGTCATATATCATGGAAATTGGATGTATACCTCCTGAGTAATAAGCTTTTACTTTTGGGGAGACAATTGTGTACCACCCTGTACATGGCACTGTTAAGTGATGATATTCTGTGGATGAATAGCCTTCTAGAGCTGCCAGCTTGGACACAAACAAATCTCACTAGTTTGGTGTGGTTCAAGAAGGCTGAAGCTTTTTTTTTTTCTAATCAGCAGAGGTAAAGCAGGAAGAAAAAAGTTCAGATAGGAAATAGATGTGATAGATTGAGCAAAAAATGTAGGCCTGAATGCACAAACCTCATTTTGGGGAGATAGAGGGATCTTTCAGCCAAAGAACTCTTTTTTCCCCCATAGGAGTCCATGCATTCCTAAAGGATCATTAACTAAAGGAGGTTTCAGCATTTGGGCCTTAATTCAGGTTGGCAGTTAGGGTAATGTTATTTATTTTTTTATTTATTTTTAAATCATGATATTCCTTGTGATTCAGGAAAGTTTTATTTATATTCAATTTTTGTAAGAAAAATTTAGTTTTTATTAAGAGAGCAGAGGCAGTGGTTTTCTTTGTAACTCATCTATTGTTCTACTCAGACTTTTTTTATGTAAAAGAAATTTAAAAAGGAATAACTGTCAACCCTGGCTTTTATCATTGCTGATGGAAAGCATGATTGCATCTTGCATTGTAGTGAGGGAATTGGTGGTGAATTATGGTAGTTTGTCATTATGTGAAGAAAGTTATCAACTTTTCCAACCTTTCTAACATTTTCACCAATAAAAATTTCAGATTATTTATCATTTTCAATAAATGTTTTAAAGTGGGAGTAACTGCAATGAAATGAAAATTGTGATATTCAAAATCTTAAAATTTTGGTCAACCTTATATGCTGATGGAAATTCATAAATTACAAAATTCATATGTTCTATTGATGGACCAAGAAGATATTTGTCCTAATGCAGGTACTGCAGTTTTACATTGTCTTGTGTTTTGCCATGAAGCATCACATATGGGAGGTTTTTGTGATTTGTTTTTTCACCTTTAGGGATATGTAGCACAGCAAGCTCGACAACAGGGAAACGAGGATGATTTACGAGCAAGACGAATAGCTCTCCTGCTGAGGAATCGTGCTCTTAATACACTTCGAGGATTGCGTGCACCGTTTCCACTGAGACGTCTTCCACCCCTCATTGACGATGTCTTCCCCCATCAGCAAATTCCTCAAGAGGGGGGAGCTGAAGAGGTTATAGTTGAGCAACCAGACAGGTATAATTCCACTGTATTTTATTGCTTTTCTCATATCAGTTAGATACTTCAAGCAGTACTGGTAGGTTTATGAGGATAATTTCAATCCCTTCAGTATTGCACCTGGTAGACTAATAACTTCATGTGTCCTTGCAAAAGATTATTTAAGCTTTATGGGATGATAGAATAAGAAGCTTAACCCTTGAAATATGGATGTGACATTGCAGTTTAAAAAAATTTGATGTACCAATGCGAACCATTGTTGGTGTATGACTGCATTGGCAAGATACTGATAATGAGACTATGGAAAGGAAAGTGCAAAAACTGCTTCAGATGTAGATTTAGTGTCTGTCTGCACCACTTTCCATGGTGTCATGCAGGAAGGGACTGAAACTAGAAGCCAGTGATGGCAAGAAAATATTAGATTGTTGGTAGGGAAGAAAAGAGAAAGGGAAAGATTTCTTTCCCCATTCTCAACACTGTCTTTAAAAAAATTGTACCTGTTTATTTTATTAAATATCTCCATTTGATATTGTGAATGCTTCATGTTTTTCTGCTCCTGGCATCTCATTTGTGACTGTCCAATGAATTAATGCCTGCAATTCAGTGAGATGTAGGTCTTTGTGACCTTTTAGTTCATTTTGTCTCAGCTGTTGTTCAAGAGGCAACCTTGAAAAAAATATTTAGGAAATTTTTTAACAAAAAATTTATGCTGCAAATTTCTCCTGGATCTCAGTAGTAATGAAACCAAAGCTACAAAATTACGTGGTTTGGAATTCTTTTACATTTTTAAGAAAGAAGAAATTATAGGTGTACAGCTGTTCCACATGGATGAATTGATAATTCATCTCAGTTCCTTTCTACTGTATTTCAGGAGAGATGGCTATAAAGTATTAGGCCATGTCCTTGATGAGTAAGCTGAATATATAAAGTGGGGGAAATGGAAGATGACATGGTTCTTTTTGTTTTTTATTATTTTTTATTTAGGAATGAATGAAAAGCAAATTATTTTTATTTCATGTGTAAGCAGCAATCCAGAAAGTGTACAGGTGAGTGACATGTTGAATGAACTGCGGACTCAAGTACGGATCTTAATGGATTCTATACGGAACTCAGTGATCGATGAAGAAGTTATGCCTGTGATCTTGAGCTCTTTGGAGCGCTCAGAAGCTGCTCTTGGTCGAGCAATTCAACGCTATGAAGTTCTGATGGAACGTTTGCAACGTGAGTTCCAAGTCTTGTCCTTGTATTGCAAAAAAGTATTGTAATAATACATAATTTAGTCAAACCAGGAAACTTCCTACCTGGTAAGGATACATTTACTGGAACTTGGTGACCTTTGATTCATTTCTTGCAGGTCACCAGGCAGCTCGACTCAGTTCAGCCTTGTAGGTGTTTCTCCTTTCTTCTCTTCTACTTGTTATATGCCTACTTAATACTTCACCTAAGCCATTTGTCCTTTCTAGGCACTTATTCAGGTCTCTTCAGGCTGAGTTCAGGCATTTGGTAGACTCTCGAGATACCTCTGCATCTGGCATGCGCTTAGCCCGTGAGTGCTGTACACCTTGTGTTCACTAATGACTTATGCAATGCAGAATATGCTGAAGGTTTTCTTGTTATTGCAGGCTTTCATGTGAGCATGACAACTCGTTTGATAGACCTAATCATTGTCCTCCTGCAAGCCAGGTCTCATCTTGATGTCATGCAACAGTCAATGTAAGTCCCTCAAGTACAAAAATTCAGTGAGGTTGTTCATCCTTTGTGGAAAATAAAAGTTTGCATGTGCTGTCTGTCCTCTTTGTTCCTCCTTCCTCTTGGAAAGAATAGCTTGGTCCACATCTTAGTTTCCTCATTTTCCTTGAGATTCTTTGGCATAGAATTATCTTGACATCAAGCACATGACCCACATATGTTGTTACTGATGCACCAAGGTTTAAATTTGCTTTCAGGAAAGTTCAGCTTTTTTGCTTTGCTCCAAGACTGAGAGCTCAGTGCCTGTCAATGCTTGGTTTGTAGTAATGCTGACTGCTTTTTTTTAATGACCTTATGACATCCATAATGCCTTTTCTATAAATTGTTTATATATTTTCATACCTTGTGGAGACCTATAGAGTTGAAATTTATTTCAACCCTGGTAAGAAGCACTCACACTCCTTGCATGTCTCTTGTCTCCCTGAGTATTTAACTTGAGGGGGATTTTTAACCCTTTCTATTAAGAAAAAGGAAGTGTAAAGGTGTAATCATAAATGAATGGATAAGTAAATGCATCAAAACCAATATTGATGGAAACAAAAATGGCATAGGAAGTTGAAGACCCAAGAACCTCAACTCCTGATGGATCTGGTCAAATTTTCTCCAACAAGAGGCAGAGGAGGTGGGTGCAGACCTCATGGGGTCACTTCACTGGATGTCAAGGCATCTATGCCTCGTGGAGTGATAAACTGTAAAGAGTGGAAGTGATGTTGTCAATCAGAATTTGAACCTTGTGTCTTCTTTAGTTGCTGAGTAAACTAGCAAAAAACTAAAGCAAACTATATACTAAAGCAAAATATATGGAACATATGTGGAGTTAGACACAAAATATGTGATCATATCTGCATGTAACATATGAACCAAATTGGCCCATACACTTTTACCACATGTATGCCATGTCATGTCTTGTCCTTATATGCAGTCATATATTGTAATATTTCTGTTTGTATATTTGGGTAGGTGTAAACCCCATGAAGTTAGTCATCAGGTTTACCATTCATTGAAAGGTATCTTCTTTCCTCAAAGGGATCTTGCAAGCTGTTTACACAGTGAGGCTGAGAATAGTAAAGGGGACCCAAAAGTAATGCTATTCAAAATTTTTGGAAAACTTGTCAATCCAGCTAAGGTGAAGTCTTCCACAATGCAGCCTCCTCCAAAGCACACCACTGGAAATGGTGCTTTTGATTTATCAAGTTAGAGGGCTTGGCTTTCTCCATTGAAAACTTTGGTAATCTTCGTCCATGTGAGCTGCTTCCTTCTTTACCTTCTACACCATCCCCCACCATGATGGTGTAGAAGGTTAAGAAACTTACTAGCAAGGAAGACAAAATAGCATACCCAAGCACTTAGCCACTTGATACTCTTCTGGTCAGGTGTGATGGGGCGTTGGTAGTCTTCCTGGCCTTGAGGATGAGTGCCATTCTGCCTTCAATCACAATTGACTGTCCCTGTCCCCCCTCCCCCCCTCATCATGGATTTTATGCTCTGTCACCATTGCATGGTGTTGATTGGTACGGTAATTATCATGTGGCAACAACATTAGAAAGCATTCTTCATTAATTGACTCATTCTTGCATCATTTGCAATGCATTGATATGCCATAACTCACCCATATTTGAGAGCCTGATATGTAGCATTTTCTTTATTTGCTATGTTGTCTGCTTTTTGTTGTTGAGAAAACAGCTGGAATACAATGTGCATATACATTTTGTCTCGAGTCAAAGGTTCTCCATCAGATTAATACTGCTATCACAGCTCAGAAATCAGCCTAATGAACATGGACCATATTTCTGGATATGAAGCATGGCAGGAGATGTTGACTGGAGGTTTTTTTTTAATTGGACTTTGATGAAATGAGTTGTAGAAGGCTGTTGTCTTTGAGTAACCCATCAGCAGCAACAAAAAAAAATTATAGACTTTTTGGAAAAGAAAACACTAGAACCATTTTATAGTCAATTTGAGTTAAAATCATGCAAAAAGAAGTGAGAGTCCCAAAAGAGATGAAAGAGAATCAAACTTCTCTCCTTCATTTGTCTCTTTCGGGGAGAGGAGCTGCTTATTAAAAGGAGAATTCCCTTTCATTGATGATTCTGCAACAAAATTTATTTTTCTGGAGGTCTTGTAAGATATGCAACAGTTTATTAGCTGACACCATTTTTATTGGACATTTAGCCACTTGATACTTCAACTTAAAACAAAAAAAATTATTTAATTTTTCATAAATATTGTTTAAATTGTGCTGAATCCATAACTGAAGGTCCCATTTTGATTGCATGTTTAGTTAGCAAGATAGAGGTTGTTGTATTTTGAATGTGTGTTTCAGTGCATGTCAACCTAAGAATTTATATGCAGCCTCTAGGGGAAGTTTTGATGCATTCTTTTTTAGATATAAAGAGGTGATATTTTGGATTGCATTTTTTAAGTTTTTACTGTCAAAAACCCAGAATCAATGAGGGTTTAGTCATGATCTCAGAAATTAATTGCATAGATCAGCCCAAGATGTCATTGCTCCTACAGGGTGACACTACATCTATGACTGTAGGGTGAGGATCATTAGTGGTACCCCAGGCCAACCTTCCAGGAGCTACTGGTGGTTTTAATTTAGTATGTCATTTAAGTAAAGGTTCAGGCTGTGATGATGAAAGGAAAGCACTCCTACCCAAAATTATTAATGGTCTTACAAGATAATAAAGAGCAGTTACTGATAATAAAAATTACCTGGCAACAGGCCTGTTGCAGTATCAGATATTTTGTGTCAGGTAATAGTTGCAGGACAGTATTATTAAGCCTCATCCGGGCAAGCTTTTTTACAACCTATTCCGGGCAAGGTGAGTCTGTCAGACTCATGTAAAATAAGGCCGTTTGCTGCGGTTACGGTATGTATTCTTAAAAATAAATAACAGTACTGTAACTAAAATAATACAGACAATTTATTCAATGGTCCTGATAGTTTAAAAAAATAATGACAGTAATAGACCTAAATATGTCGTAGCGAGTCCAGCGGACTCACCTTGCCCGGATTAGGGTTAAATTATAAGTGAAGTACCACTTCAAGTAAGAGATAAGTTCCAAATCTTTCAATGACTCAAGATATTTCAAGTCGTGCATTCAGTGTTTTGAGATGGAGAACATCTAGTTCCAGCTAAGGCACCTCAGATTAGAACAAAGAATCTTTTAGTTTCACATCAGTTTTGTGTTTCTAAAGATGCATATGTTCAATGTGAAAAGAAATCCCTGCCCACTGACTGTGAAGTAAAATATTTTGTTAGAATAAAATCTTAAGGTATACATCTTCAGGTTCTTTTCTTCAAGGGCACTCAAGTAAACTGGACATTCTTCATATATTGCCTGATAAAAGACTGGGATCAACAAGGAATAATACCAGATATTGATATTTGTCTGATTCTAGAATCAGACAACTATCAATGATTCTTGAATTACTCCACTGATACATTTCTGACAAAGTAAGTTTCTTGGGCAGATCTAAGGAATGAATTCCTCTTCTTAGGCAAGGTAATCATGATGGTGAAAATGAAGACCCCATACGAGTTCAATTTGATGGCGATCGTGAATCACACGATGGAGAAGAACCAGAGGAAATCACAATTGAAGTCCCATTACCTGCTCTACGAAGGCCCCCACTTGTGCGCCAAAACCCTGTCATTGCCGATGAGGTTGATGATGTTGACATTGCCCGTGAGTTAGTCAGCATCCTTCTTTATTTTATCTCACTTTTAGAAAGTGCTGTAAATTGGATTTACTTCTCTGTGTATTAGGGGCCCCTAGGGACCTTCCTAATCTGGTGCCAATTGGAGGCATAGGAGGTGGAGGAATAGTATCTCATCGGATTCAGATGTGGGATCTGAGTCCAGGTCATCCTCTTCCTCCGATTCATCTGCGTAAGCTCACAGCACCATCTTATTTTTTTACTGGAAAGTTCATGAGTTGATTTGTGCTCTGTGAAAATGCACATGACAGGCACATAATTGGCTTTTTCCTGCAATTTATTTAATTGTTTTGAAAGCTGTGTGACTTGAAATGATGTACTTATGCACATAATGTACAAAGGATGGATTCTACAAGGTAGAAAAGAGATATATAATAACCTAAGATCCATATGAAGGTAAGGATATCGTTCTAATTTAATGTGTATCATGTGAAATTAAATTTTAAAAATGGTAGTTTTGGCACCCAAAGTCACTCTGATAATCCATTGATTAATCCTATTTAATGAATATTTCTCCCTGAAGAGCACTCTTTGTCTTAGTCCTTCTTCACTCTGATGTCATATTCAGCATCTGTATTCTGTACCCATTGTGTATTCAACATAGAAGAGCAACAGAAAAGCATCTTTTTGGCATTCCTTACAACACAATTAGACAGCTGGAAGGGCACCTAGACTGAGATGGATTCCTGAAGGACTCTTGATTGTTTTTCAGAGGAAAAGAATGTGGTGATAAAATGTTGTCAGTTGTACAATGATGCAAGTATTGACATTTCATCAGATGGCAACATGCTAGTTGCCATCTCCCAGGACTGTGGTTACCCCCGACTCTCTGTCTTCCGTAAGTCTATTCACAAGCTTATCATTTCTGCAGCTGAAACAGATCTTAGCTCTACAAGACTAAGGAAAGTTTTCATGCATCCAGGGGTTCATAGTTTACGTCTGGAGGATTTGGGAGTCTGTCTCCATGTCTTTCACACTCGTGTGAATGCTGTCTCCATTGGATTTTCCCCCCTGTCGCGTTACATCATTATTGGCCTGGAGAACCGAAGACCTCTCTTCCAAATTGATGATGACAATGGACCTGCAGTAAGTAGTCCTCCCTTATTTTCATTTTTAAATGGATTTTCTATGAAAGAATGAGGAATTTTGGATCCAGTGTGTCTGTCTTGATAATTTTTTGGTTCAGAGGGAACTAGGCAATTTTGTCCTATTAGCTGTGTAATTTGCTTATACTGACATGAATGTCTCTAAGTTAAAATATTATTCCAAATTTCCACTTTTTATCACCAAAAAAATTAGCAAAAACAGGAACACTCACTGTTGAATGACGTGTGGACATTGAATGCCAATGTTGCCACCAGCCTCACTCTACTGGATTTCCATCAGAATTTCTCTCCATAGGATTGGGTTTGCCCAACTGCTTATAATGGAGTTCTTTAACTCTTTCTGTGAAAATTTTCTGCTTTTTTTTAATACAGGTAATGGCTCTTTTGCTCAAGCTGACAACACCGGAAGAAGGGAAAACTGAAAAATCCATGACAGTAAGTAATGTCAAGTGATCTTCTATTCTACATCATCCATTTCTTTAATTTTGTGCTTCTTATTGAGGTCTGAAATTAGGTTTTTAGTATCCAATTAAGTGAATAACAAGGTGCCATTATGTCCTTTATTTAGCATTGTGTTTCTTTCTTAGTTGGCGTGCAAGATGCGGATGAGCAGGACTCGAAGCATCAATGTGATCCGTTTTTTACCAACACCAGGCCAAGGAATCATCTATGGGACCAACAAAGGCGAACTCAATGTCTTTGTTTAATCTCCTACTTGAAAGCATCCTGTATCCACATCTGTCATTACACCATGGGGAAATCTTCCAGAGACAAAATAGACTTTATTGTGACCTTCACCTGTGATGTAGTTGGGATGGTGATAATGAATGATGATGTTGGTGTGATGTAGGAGCTTGAAGTATGTGTTGTCTCCTAGTGATGAAATTCCTGTTTAGTTGTTTTCTGAGGAGTATGAGAAAAAGTCTGTGATCTCACATGTGCCAGTATGTGAGGATTGGAAGAATTCCTTACTGATGGCATGTGAAGCCAGATAATGATAGGAAACTAAGCCTTCTTGTGATGAATAGATGTGAAGGTGAAATTGTTTGAAATTTTGTGGCTTGCTCTTTCCATATCGTTTTTTTTTTGGTACAGTCTAAATAAAATCTCTGTCTTATAACCCCTTTTTTTTCCATCACTCTCCAATGCAGCATGATGGCCTCTTGGTTATTGATCAGAATTGATGGAAGGTCAATTTCTTGGTTTGACCTGTGGGCTGAGAGCCTATCTCCATGCATTCTGTCTAATTCATATTCTATACAAGTTCAATTAGTCCAAGATCTACTATCACCTCCATTTTTCTTTATTGCAGAAAATTATTTTTGCTTGTAATGTAGCTCAGCAAAATATCAGGAAAGATGCATTGGCCTCACAGCTGGGAGCAGTGGGGGCGACTGTGCCACGAACTTGTTGTATCTGTGCCATGGGCTCTCTTGTATAACATCAAACAGGCTTTGTACATTTTCCTCTTCCCAAAAAAATTTCTGGAAGCGCAAATGAAAAGAAGAGCTATCCAGCAAAGGGAAACCAGCTCCAAGCCACATCTTCAATTGCTGGAGAAACCTGGGAATGGCAGATATTTCTGGCTTCGGTTCCACTTCTTCACATATAACTTACATAGGTATATCCACCCTTGCATCTAAAACAATGACATCACCTGGACCTCCTTGTAACCATTGCATCAGTCAACATGACAATGTAGTGCAATGTAGTCTGCTTTAATGCATACAATGTGATTGATTTTCAAATGTAATGTGGATTTTCTTTTATATTTATATGCTTCATGGGTGATCTGCAAATTTTTCTTTTGTAATTATAATTGGTACATTATCTAAAAGCAAAACTGATCAAAGGTGAGTGAGAAGTGACAAAATTAATACATAGATGGTACTTGTTGAAACAAGGTGGTTTGAATGGGACTGAAATTTTTTTGAAAAAAGGTGAGAGATGTGAATTAAAAGAAAACTGGAAGTGACAGTTCATGAGAGTTGTGGAAACAGTGTCATTTCAAGTGCAAACTGGGTATTTTTAGCAGCCTACTTTTTGTTCTCTTTCTTGACAATCTCACCTATTATTTTGAGCATTACTTTTTTATTTTGATGTTTTAAGGGAGAGAAAAGCATGAAGTTGAACCTGCAACTGTTTATCATGGAATTTGTATGTGGGTAGTTCTCACTTATGTATGACAACTACCTAAGATAAGGCTGTACAAGTGTCAGTGACACTCAATCTTTTTGCTCCTAGAATCTTTCTCTCTCTTTCTGATCTCATTGGCATTTGGAACTGTAGAAGTTCAGGAGTTCATTCTAGTAAATGCAGCCAAAGAGCTTCAACTGAAAAGTGATGTTATATTTTCATGCCTCATGGAATAGAATACAGAGCAACAGAAGTGTTGTTTTGTCCCATCTCAATAGTTTTGATTACATGATTTAAAAGAGGAGAGTGGAATATTAGAAAATTGAGTGGAGTTGATTATCTACACTGATTCTCTATTGCTGGATGCCCATTGAATTAATATCCATGAAGGATAGCAGCACTTCAAACATAGGAAGGACATTCATGTAGTTATTAGCAAAATTTTAATTAGTAGATGCCATGCTAATAGCTGTCCATAAATGGCATGCAAGTCTCAAATCAAATGTTAACCAGCGATCTTTAATCTCTTCGAGAAATGATTCTGATGTTTAAATTGAAAATTTTCAAAAAAAATTCTGATTTTTGATTCATTATTTTTTAATTTGAACCCAATTACTGCCATGATTGGACAGTGCTGGTTTTGGCCTGCTTCCTCCATGGCAACCCAGCTTTGCAAAGCTTTACCCATTTACACAAGAGTGAGAGTTGCAAAAAGCAATTCTCACTCCCTAGTGATGTAATCACATTGTGATAGCTTTAACAGGATTCATTCATGCTTCAGCTTTCCAATTATGTTTCAGGACAGTTATTCTTAATCACACTTGGAGTCATCAATCTCTGTAAAATATATAGGAGTTAACAACACCTTGGTTAAAACAATGAATAATGCTCATTCCTACTTTAAAGCCTATTAGGTATATTTATTTATAATGCACTTATTGTAAGTTCAGTTATTGGGAGAATCATAGTTGTGAATTCAATTTTTGGTCTCCCTGGCAAAGTTGGCAATCCATCTTCATCTTATTGCTCACAAGTAACTAGAACCTGCATTTCTGGAGGACCATGCAGGGGGATGAGTATAAGAGGGTAGAGGGAGAGATATATTTCCACCAGAGCTGTATGCTATACAACATACTCTTGTAAATGCTTTAAAGTAGATAATAAATGCTACCTTGTTTATGACAAACCTCAGCTAAAATGATATTTTCCTGGTCTCTTCAATGACATTGTGACCTGAGTTCTTCTGAATTTCTGTTGCAGGGCATTTCTGGAAGCCTGCAGAGAAGCCAAAGTAGGAGAGAAAAGTCCCAACCCACGGTTGATATGGCCTGAAACCAAGTCTGAATGTCGATTGTTGGACTTTTCTTCCAACGAAAAACCCTTGATTGTGGTCTTTGGATCATGCACCTGACCACCATTTATGTCCACCTTGGAGAAGCTCTTCAATGTAAGTTGGAACACATTGTCTCTGCCTTTCCCAGGGGCATTAATTTCCTTTTCATCCTCTGTGGTATTTATCTATATACTCGTATAATCAGAGATTCAGAGATTTATCTATTGATAATTTTCATTATCAATAGATAATGAAAAGCTACTCCAAGGTGGCCAACTCCATCATCATCTACATATCCGAGGCTCATCCAAGGGACTCTGGTGATCTCATAGAAAATCTTCCTATTGACACTCACAAGTGAGCATGTTTCATTGGACCAAATGCATTCATGAAGTCAGCATTTGCTTAAAAGCACTCATGCATATCATGTTGGGATTGCTGCCCAGCAGTCCAAGGCTCCAAAGTTCATTCACTCCAGATCAAGCATGCTATCTACCAATAAAGTAAGCCAACTAAGTTATTGCTTAAATTTTTGCTATTTTCCCATAATATACTCTGAATGGATTTAAGTATGGTGCTAGTGTTTGGTACAACACAAAACAACCCAGTCAAAAATTCCAGTTGGAACCAGCCTGGATATTCAATGGTTCTTGTTGGAATGAGCAGGAAATTGCTGGTTTTTGATGGCTCTGATTTCCAGCTGGATTTAATGGTTCCAGCTGGAATCAAATATACCCTGGATATTACCAATGGAGTAACCAGTAAGTTTTCAATGTGCAACTAAAGGCTCTGCTGAAGGAGTTTTAAAATTGAGTGAGTGCTGTGCCTAACTTTGAAGGAGTCCCAATATTCCAGCAGATATCTCTGTGACTAAGAGTATAATGTCCTATTGACCCTCCCCTAAAGGATCTGCTAGGAGATAGACTCCTAGTTCAGAAAATTCACCACAGCATTAGTCTCCATTTTTATACCCCTTCAGCCTACCCTTTGGGAGCACATGGAAAAAAATTCATGAAGTTGTCCATCATTGAAAAATGAGATGAAATTTTGTCAGTTCCCATCAAAGACATATATCTCCTATGAGAAAAATAAAAATGATGTATTGGGTCGATCGGAAAGTTCTGGCCGTTTCGAGAACATTCCATACAACCGAGTAAAAAAAAAAAGCTTTTTTGCTTTTCAAAAAAGCAAAAAAGTTCATTCAACGAAGTAATCGCCATCACAGTCAATCACCTTCTGCCAACGATCAGGCAGACTCCTGATTCCATCCCTGTAGAACTGAGCCGGCTGTGAGTCGAAAAAATCAGTCAGCCAGTTTTCGACCTCGNATCAGGCAGACTCCTGATTCCATCCCTGTAGAACTGAGCCGGCTGTGAGTCGAAAAAATCAGTCAGCCAGTTTTCGACCTCGGCGTCATCGTTGAACCTTTTCTGGCGAAGATGGTCGTCCAGAGCGCGGAAGAGATGGTAGTCGGTTGGCGTCAGATCTGGGCTATACGGAGGGTGAGGCAGAACCTCCCATCCCAGATCCAGCAGTTTCTGTGGTGTGATCTTTGCGACATGCGGCCTTGCGTTGTCGTGCAGGAATCGAACACGACGGTGCCCTGGCCTCACCGTGCGGAGTCTGTCGGCGAGCTTCTGCAGCCAATCGCAGTAGTAGACGGCGGTGATGGTGGTATCGGGTGGGAGCAGCTCGAAGTCGATCACGCCTTGCACGTCCCACCAAATGCAGGACACGACTTTTCGGGGGTGCAGGTCACCTTTCGTCTCCGGCTCTGGCTGGGCATCGGCATCGACCCACTGGCGGCCTGAGCTCATCCTCGAGGCTGTTTTTTCCAGACCGGAAACGATCGAACCATCGTCGCG